ATGATCAGGGGTCCTCCTATGAGGAAAAACTGTAAGAACTAAGCATGTTTAGCCTTGAGAAAGACTGAGCGAAGATATGATAGTACTCTGCAAATACTTGAAAGGTTGTCATACAGAGAAGTTGTCATACAGAGCAGGACCTGTTCTCAAGTCTCCTAGAGTGAAGATCATATAATAATGGGCTCAAGTTACAGGAAGCCAGATTTTATTTTATTTTTTGAATAGCGAGAGAAACTACCTAATTGTAAGAGCAGTATGAAAGTGGAACCAATTGCCTCAGGAGATGACAGGTGTTCCAAAACTGGAGGCATTCAACTAGACAACAATCTGTTAGATATACTTTGATTTGAATTTTTGCACTGAGCAGGGAGTTTGACTCAGTGGCCTTATAGACCTCTTCCAACTTCCATTGTTCTATGAATCTATGAAACTGCTACTACTGCTTCTTCCGTCCCCCATACTCATACCAGATGAAATTCAGTAACTTTGGACTTATGGATTCTGATTGACTCTGTTTCTGCCATTGACTTCATCCCTGACCCTTCTACTGCAACCATCCACATCACTTTCTTGAGTGCAGAACTCGTTCAAGAGTTATTTGACCTCCTACAAAATGAATTATCGAACAGATCAGTTACTCCATTCCAAACACCTTTGCTTCCCATTTTCAAAATATATTTTAGATCTATGGGCTTTCAGTCACTTCATTCATTGTATGAAGTTCTAAATAATACGTTTCAAACATATTATCCCATTACTGCAGGAAATAGACTGGTTAACTTCCATTGATCTCTTCAGTACCTCCTTTCGTATGGCAGTCCACCCATAGCATTGCCCATTTCTACATTTTGCTGTAACCAGCTGTCAGTTGCTGGATCTAACTGTAATCTCTGTGAAAACACCTACTTTACTCACTGAATGCACAAAGCTTGGGCTTTTTGGTGAGTTTTGAAAAATCCAACCTTACATTTTGAAAAATAATTAAACTAGATGGGCGGGACCCCTTGTCAATCCCACCTTAGCTTGGACATTTTTACCACTACTGAGAATGAACACTCTGATCACTTTGATAGTCAAACTGGTATAATAGGCAACATATTGAGCTCAGTTGTTCAATATTTTTCTGTTGTTAGCCGCTCAGAGTGGTATAATTAAACTAGATGGGCGGGATATAAATCAAACAAACAAACAAACAAACAAATAAACAAATAAACAAACAAACACCTGCTAGAGAGTTATACCTTGAGCACAGCCATAGTGGAACATGACCACTTTTACATGCAGACCTTTCAAGCTTGGTTCTCCCAGGTCTTTGACATCATCACAGACCATGAATCAGTGTGCTTTCATCCTCCAGATCCCATAGGTTGGTTGTTGCTCTGATGGACAAATTTGACCCACTTGACTGGAGGCATGCCAGTCCTTTCCCAAGAACCCAGTCACTCCTTCTTTACAGATGTTTCTCATACAGGATGTGGGTGTAGCATGCAGCACAATGGCAAGTGAAGACTTTTAGTCAAGAGCATAACAGGTTGTCCACATCAGTATTTTGGAGTTACTAGCACTTTGGAAGGCTCCTAGTTCATCTGAGAGTCTTGTTACCAATCATTGTGCTGAGGTTGTCACAGTGATGCTCTAGCTGAATAAGGAGGGAGGAACTTGATCCCTTTCTCTCCTTGTTTTGACAGTGGTGCCCTGAGAGGCTTCCTGAGGGATGCTTTCTTACTACATTTGGTAGGTCCTCTCCTCTGTTTCTTCCATTCTCTCTGCTCCTCAGGATTCAGAGGCACAAGTCCAGTTACAGTATATCATAATCATAATGAGGGGTGCATTCTTCAAAGCCATTATTGTCACCTGCCCATAGTATTGCATTTATTTACTATCAACAGTACTCACATCTTAAACAGGGACTTATGCATGTTTCACCTAACATCATAGTACATCCACCCCTTAACACCTTCTTGGGCCCAGTAAAGGACATCTTTCTGGTAGCAAAGAGAAACCTTGATCGTGGGAATTCTGTAAATTTAATTGGAGTCGATTATCAGCCTTTGTGGTCAAGGAAGGTGCCAAACCCTCAGGTCTTGACTTCCTGCTTCCTGTGGAAGAAGTTGGAGTCTTACTATTGTCCATCCAAGTCTACTTGGCTGTAGTTTGAAGTTTTTCTTAGCCATAGATTTACTGTCCATATTTATGCATTTGAGAACCAATTTGTTCTTGAAAGAACATATGTGCAACTTCCCTCAATACCATCCATTTGTTCCAGAGTGGAAGCTTTCAGTAGCCATCGTAACAAATCTTTTATCGCTGTTGTTGAAACCAGTAGCAACCTTTCCATTATGTCCTTCTTAGAAAATGGACTTTTTATTGTTATTGTAGTAGCCCATAGGGCTAGAGAGCTCCACCCTGCACGATCTTAAAAAAAAAAGAGTTATATATCAACCCGATACTACTGCCTTCCAAAGGTAGTCTCTGAATTTAATTTAAATCAAGACATAGTTCTTTTATCTTTTTGAAAGAATTCTAGTACAGACCTAGAGAGATCCTTACCCATCCTAGATACCTGTGTAGCCCTAGCATTCTGTAAGAACCACACACTGTGTAAGTATCTGAGGCTATCTGTATCCTACCTTGTTTTGCTTTCTTTCTCCCTGGCATCTCCCAAAATAGATGGCATGTATGATCACTCTCACTTAACCAGCTGGCAAACCTACTTGTTCCAGACATTATTAAGTCTTCATTCACAAGGACAGCATCATTATCCATTGCCCTAGGGAGAGGAAATCCACACAGTGATGGATGTACAGAATGTATCTGGTTGCAGCCTTCCACATGTGCGAGACTTTACTGTCTTGATGCTGCCTTTGATTGTAGTCATCAGTCTTTTTTCAGTCATAGAGGCACCTGCTTCTCTCCAGTAAATGAGCTTCTATTCACTTACACGTTTAATACACAAAGACTGCATTGAAAGAGGAACCGGTTCTTTACCTATAACTGTGGTTCTTTGAGTGCTCATCTGGGGCATTCACACAACTCCCAGTCCATCCCCACTGTGGTGCCTTTCACTTGGAAGTTGGTTCACACTTCCATTTCAAAGGAACTGAGGGAGAGGATGTTTCCACCAGGAGGCTGAGTTGGAATGTTGCTGAACTGGGCTGTGTACAAATGCAATGCACAGAGGACCAATCAAAGGAACTGTGGTTATGGGTAAGCCACCTCTTCCTCTCTTGGTTCAAAGTTAGGCCTGCTTACATCTCAGGTGTTACAACTGAAATAGTACACAGATTTTATTTACATAATGTATTTGTTTCATACATACATAGCATTTTCATGTTACCTCTGTCATCGTTCCCTCTGTAAAAAAATTTTTTAAAACCCTGAATTTCCCTTGTTGCATATAGAGGACTTTTTGAGAAATAAATGCCAGCATGTCTTTTTTGGTATGAAAAGTATGAGCAATGCAGTTTTACAATGAGGAGGAAGAGATATGCTGTTTTTATCTCTCTCTTATGCACACAAAAGCAAAACCCTGCTCGTAAATCTTTCTCTCAATGTAAAACTGAGGGCTAAAAAAACTTCAATTTTGCTTTTGCTTTGTTTCCAAGTGACTCATTTTCAAGGGCACAGATATGTTTTAATTTCCATGCAGGCATGCCCATATTCAGGACAATCTGAATTCCACATACAGTACAGTGTGTAGGAAATCTAAATCCTGCCATTAAGTTTTGCAGGTTTAATTTGCTCAGTGTGATTATTTCATAACCTTTTTGGTCAATTCTTTTTCTTTTTTTAAAAGAATGAGTCTGTTGTATTATCAAACAGTGCAGCTTTTGGTGCAAAAGTGGGCTTTCAGGAGTACAGTTCAACCCTTTTGTTAAACTTGAACGCATTGTATTTTGTGATGTGACTTGGTAGGCTAAAGAACTGCAAACAAAAGCTGTTTTGCTGTTGTATATGAAGATGCCGAAAGGTTGTCCTTGGGCATGTATAGGTGGTCTCATGTGTGCAGCTGAGGTCCTCTGTTACACATGTGGCATATCATCCTCCTCTGTATATGTGTGTGTACTTCTGTGGGTGTGGGTGTGTTCCTGTGTCTTTGCAAGCTGGTTGTTCATTCAAAACGAGGTGACACTGCCTTGCGCTTTTGAAACTGAAACAATTAACCTTCATCTTGCACATGGTCTCTTGTCAGTTCTCTCACTTGGCAGCTGCTAGTGCTGCCCTGCTCCTGTTTACCATCCCCTAGCCTCAGAACAACATGCTTAATATTTTTTTAACAGTTATTCCACATACATTCTCAGTGGTGAATTGGACTTTTCATATTATTTAAAGTGCCCAAATTTTTATAAGAGCCCTTCAGTGCTACAATTTTGCAGGTAATATTGGCAATATGCCCTCCTTCACAGGCAAAATATCTTACATGGAGACACTATATGTTGCATGCATGTGTTGATGTGCCACAAACTTGGGGATATTCAAGATACCTTCTGCAGTCATTACCCATTGCAGATGGTTGTCGGTACACACTTTAAAATGCTGGTGACTTCTTTGAAGAAAGCCTGGCTTGTGTAAAGTAGTGTTAGTAACTGAATTCAGAGGATAGTAGTCATTGTTCTGAATTTTAAACGTTTTCTGTTGTCTTGTTCTTCACTATTAATGTTTAATATTGAAGGGAAGGTGGTGGTAATGTGAACAAAGAAGTCGAAATGAAATTGAAATGAGATATTTCAAAGGCTTGTTTCCTTAACAGTGTCTTTGAAAAAGATGCATGATGGAGGTGTGGGATTCTGAATGCTGGGCAGGCTGTTGTCCTTGCATTAATATGTTGTTTTGAACAAGCAGGAACCTAAAGTCAATCTGGCTTGACTTTTGCAGCCATTCTGATTAACAAGGGAACACTTTCTACTAACACTCCTGGAACATTGAGCTGAAGGGGAAGAGAGCAAGTGTTCATAAAATAAAGCTCACCTGCTTTTATTTCTCTCTCTCTCTCTCTGCAGCTGCCAAAAGCTTACTGAACAAGAAGTCTGATGGGGTAAAGGTAAGTTGTGGCTTTTAGAGCACTCCGCACCCCCTGATCTGTTCTACAGGAACCATTGTCCTTCACTCAAGGCCCAGAACAAGTTACATGCAAAAGAATGACTATGTACTTTCTGCTGGCACCATCTTCAGCAGTTCCACAAATGAATGGTACAGCTGATTGTATCCCAGATCTTTACTTCTATACCTCCAGCGCTGGCAATTGTCCACACCAAGGAAGCATTCAGTGGTGCTAGTGACCCATTGTGGATGAGGTGGTGTTTTCAATCCTCTGCTCTCTTTGGATTTATTCAGTAGGGGGTGTCTTGATAGTTGCAGCAAGCACAGAAGTGGGGTCAGTATAATACAAGAGCCAGCTAATGCTAGAAATTACTTTTGCAGAAACAATTATCTTATGGCGAGTGGAGTATCTTTATGACTACTTTCCTGTTGGGGCAGATATTTCCCTTTGCTCATGAAATAGTTTAAACTCCTAATCCAAGCTTCCCTACATTTATGAGTGTTTCGGAGGTATGTCTAGAGTTCCCTGTGCATAAGGAATCTCTCATTCAGTGGAATATGAATATTATTTGGATGCATTAAAAATCACATAGGTGGAGCTCATCCCAGAACTGTGCTGAATAGGGAAACTAATGTCCACAAAGAGTTGTGTGCACACACTGGGATGTAACAGTCTAGGTGCAGAAATATTGAGATTTGGATTTGGTTGGCAAGCTGCTGATTCTCAGAGTGCAAATTTGTCCCTGCTGTACATGCTTGTGTGCGTTATTTTTCATTCAGGGGTTGATAATACTGCTGCAATATGGACACTGTTTTCTGTTTCATCTACACGATGTAGTAGACAATACCATTATTTGAACCATTGTTTCTGTTCCATATAAGCCAAAAGTCATCACCCTAAACTGATATCCCCAGGCTTGTTCTAAAGTCTGCTTCACTGTTGATTATTCTCTCTGTGTCCTTTTTATTTTGGATATTTGATTTGTTTATTTGACACTATTTTTGTTAGCCATAAAACATTTTGGGGCTACATGAGGCTACCTTTGAGATTAATGTGGAAGCTTCAAATGGACCAGAATGCAGCGACCAGACTTCTTAGTGGGTTGAGAAAATATCAGCATATTTCCCCCACTCTGACTGCCTTGCATTAGCTGGCCGTTCAGTTCCGCCTTGATTTCAAAGTGTTAATGATGACATACAAACCCTAAACGGTTTAGGACCTCAATATCTAGCGGAACGCCTCCTCCCACCCAGATCTACCCGAATCACTCGTTCTAGCCAAGAAGGGTGGTTGAGGGGCCTAACGCTGAGGGAGGCCCAGAGAGAGAGAACAAGAAACCGGGCCTTCTTAGCAGTGGCCCCTTGCCTCTGGAACAGTCTGGCCCCAGAGATCTGTCTGGCTCCCTCGCTGGGTGTTTATAAGAGCAATCTTAAGACCTAGCTCTTTAGGTAGGCTTTCCCTATCATTACTTGATTATTTTTTGCCATCTTGAACTATATTATTACTGTTGTTTTTATTTTATTGTACTGTTTTTACTTTTACCTATTATTATTAGCTGCCCAGAGTAGACTTCAGTCTAGATGGGCAGGGTATAAATTTAATAAAGAAAGAAAGAAAGAAAGAATGAAAGAAAGAAAGATAGATTGTGGTAGTGGCTGTTATCATGAAACAGTTGTAATAAATTACAAATCCTTGCTGAGATAGTGAGTTTATTCCAGTACCAGTCCTAGACCATCCCAGAGGACTAACAACATTCATTCATTTTAGTGAGTCTGCTCTAGATATGACTAAGTTTGGATTTAACATTTTTATATGGATTTTTATGCTTCGGAACACAATTCTAAAATCATCATCTACATTCTCCTGTAATCTCACTTGCTATTTTATTTATTTATTTATTTACTTACTTACTTACTTACTTACTTACTTACTTACTTACTGACTTACTTACTTACTTACAATTTTTTTAGCCGCACCATTACCAGTGGCTTCTGGGCAGCGTACAACATTAAAACGTAAACATTAAAAACATTTTAAAAGACAATATAAAATATCATATATTAAAATGATTCTTAAAACATTAAAATTAGTAAGTCCTGCTGCTCATGTGGCCAGCTAGGGAATATTGTTTGATTAAAATGCTGGCTAAATAGAAAGGTCTTTAGATCCTGTTGGGAAAATGTGCAGCATTGCAGTGGGATAAAGCACCATAATATTGACAAAAGAAATGTAATGATGGTGGTTGGTTGTTCAAATGGGATGATAAGCTGTCAAATGAAAATTATGGAAGTAATGTCTCTTTAGATTTCTGCTAATTATAATTTTTCAGTTGATTATTTCATTCAGTTGCTTCTTTGGGTGTGTGATATCAGGTTGTCTTCTTTATGATAAGAACTGTCAAATATGATTATTGCCTTTTGGTGGTGTTGTCGTATTTTGAAAACCCAAAAACTGAACCCAGTAGACATGTATCATAATTGTTCATCCCATATATTGCTGATTCTTCTCTGATAAACAAGCTCAACCTGCCAGTTACTTCTCCTAACTAGTTCTAATACTTTACTCTGAGGGAGGGAGGGAGGGAGGAAGGAAGGAAGGAAGGAAGGAAGGAAGGAAGGAAAAGTGTATCCGCTGGGAAGTACAGACTGTTTACTCATCTCATAACTCTATCTTTTTCTTACTTCATTCAGTCTAGATAGAGTTTTTTCTACTTCCTGCCCTCAGTCCATATGGTGCAGCTTATAGATGACTTAGAGGAAGGTAGAACATTTAGAATAATAAAATAACACACCCAGATTTGGGTGCATTGGAGTTGCCCAGAAATTAGGTCTTTGAAATCTAATGTTGGAAAGGATGTTTCAGCTAGTGTTGCACAGAAGGTAAGAGACAGAGATAGAAGTTTCAGAAAAAAATAATTAGCTTGAATCTTGCCTCTACTATGACTGTAGTAGATGACTTTTGGCAAGTCACCCTCTATTGGATAGTTTAATATAGAACTATCAACAGGATTGTGGTAAGGATTATAGCAAGAAAATTTATTGTAATAGAACCATGGATCTTTGAAGTCAAGATATGGTATAAACCTATATATTGGTGTCATTCAGTGCAATAAATACTGATATATAATTGTCTTTAATGGTGATAGAGAAGGGTGAAGCAGTTGCTCCTCTTTCTAAGGGGTGAGTTACCACCTAAATTTGGTTGGCATGGTAGACTAGCCATCTTCCTTCATGGTAAAACTATATAATGCATTAGCATGGTGGTGTGCATCTTTTCTTCTGTTTTTGTTCACTTTAGAATAATATTCCAATCCGCATGCAGAGAGGGAAGGTTCAATGTTTCTTAGTCACACCTCTCCCATAATTACAGTAGTTATTAAAACAAAGAAGAGGGTCCTGTTAGAATTATTTTTGGACTTTTTTGAATTTAATATCTGAAATCCTAAACTAATATGTGGGATCCTGGCTGGAAGAGAAGGATTCATTTGCTATGTGAAGGCCTCCCTGATATTTAGGGAGGAAAATATCAATTTGGTTTTTGTTTATTTGCTTGTTTTCATTTTGAACTGCATTTCTGGATAGGGCAGGTACCAATATTCTTTGGATGATACAGAGCAGAATTAAAAACATGAACTAAAAAATAGCAGCAAGAGTTGGAAAGGTACAATATGTAACGTTCATGACAGTGTAATGTAAAGTTATGTTGGTGCAAATGTGCTGGGCATTATGCGCAGCAACAAGGTATACCATTACAGAACTGCACAATAAGTTGTGTATTCCTGGCATGACCGTTGCACAATGTGCTTGAAGAAGTGCTTTGAGGATAACACTCTCACTTTGATACTAAGATAACTGCTGCACACACAGCCTTAAGTTGTGTAAATGTGTTTGTGCAATAGCATTTTGGACAATAAAATATGAAATAAGAATAGAAAAATAAAATTAAAATAAAAAAGTAAAAGCAGCTTGAAAAATAGGTCTGTGCAAAGGATGCTGAAATGGAATATTTCTTCAAGTACCAGGGGTGAGAGTAAAAAGAACTCTATGTGCTTCCTAAGAGACCAGAAAGAATATAAAGGGTGATAGAGTCACACTATATGTAGAAAAATACATATTCCTGCACAACAATATAGGAGGATGAGCTTGGTTGGTCATCGAGAACATGTAGATTAATATAATTGGAGTGAAAAATAAAAGGAATGCGGTACTTTGAATCCACCACCAACCGCCCAATCAAGGAGAAGATAAAACTTTTGAAAAACAAATTGCAAGAATTTCAGAGACACAGTGTAGTAGTAATGGGAGATTTAAATTATCCTCCTGGGAGGCAAATTCTGCTTTTCCAAAACATTCCTGGCTTGTGGAGCTGATAATTTTCCCCCTACAAAATGTGGAGGAGGAAACCAGAGGAGTAGCAATCCTAGACTTGATTCTAACCAATAGAATTGACTTGGTAGAAGTAGTGGCAGTAAGGGGAGCTCTAGGAGAAAGTGACCATGTTCTACTTGAGGTCTTGATTTCAAAGGAAAGAAAAGCAGAGTGTAGCAAAGCTAATTTTAATAAACTCAGACCAATGCTAAATAAGGTCTTATGGCAGAAGATCCTAACAGGAAAAGGAATTCAAGATGAGTGGGAGTTTAATAAAATGGAAATTCTAAAGGCAAAACTACAAACGATTGCAACAAGAAAAAAGATGGAGGACAACAAAAAAAGGCCAGTATGGCTTCACAAGAAGCTAAGAGAGGACCTGAAAACAAACAAAAAAAATGCATAATACATGGAATGAAGACTAAGCCACAAAGGAAGAGTACAGACAGTTAGCATAAAATGTGCAGGGATGGTGTTAGGAAGGCAGAAGCTGAGAATGAGTTGAGGTTAGGAAGAGACACTAAAAGCAAGAAAAAACATTTTTAAGTAGACGTGTAGCAAAAGACAGAGAAAAGAAATAGTAACTCAGGTACTCAGTGGGGAAGGAAAAATGGTAACAGATAACAAAGACAAAGCAGAAGTGTTCAATTCTTTAGTATTACCCCAAAACTAAGCCTGTGGCCTTCCAGGCAAATGTGAAGTACAAAGGGAGGGAATGGGATTGCAGTCTGTGGTTGATAAACAAATAGTCAAGGAATACTTTATTACTTTGAATGACTTCAGAACTGCAGGCCTGGATGAACTGCATCCAAGGATTTTGAAGGAAGGCACTGAAGAGCACTCAGAACTGCTATCTGTTATTTTCTTAAAATCATAGAGAATGGGGTGAAGTGCCAGATGACTGGAGGAGGGTTAATGTTTTCCCTGTCTCCAAAAAGGGCAAAAAGGAGGCACTTGGGAACACAGACCAGTCAGCCTGACATCAATCCCAGGGAAAATTCTGGAGCATATTACAAAGTGGTCACTCTGCAAGCACCTTAAGAACAATGGAGTAATAGCCAGACACCAACACGGATTTGTCCAAAACAAATCCTGCCAGACTAACCTTCTCTCTCTCTCTCTCTCTCTCTCTCTCTCTCTCTCTCTCTCTCTCTAAATCAGTCTCTCTCTCTCTCTCTCTCTCTCTAAATCAGGTAACATCCTTGGTAGACGATAGGAATGTTGCAGATGTAATATCTCTTGACTTCAGCAAAGCTTTGGGCAGAGTGTCTCATTATATTTTGTTTAACAAACTAACTAGGTGTGAACCAGATAGAACAACTGGCAGGTAGATACGTACACTGTTGGTTACAGAATCGTACTGAGAGAATGCATATCTTAACTGTGACTGTTTTATCTTAACTGTGATAATGGAGCCAGTTACCTTGGGAGGTGGTGAGTTGCTTTAATGTTGGAGGCATTCAAGCGAAAATTAGACAACTATTTGTCAGATGTGCTTTCATTTGGATTCTTGCATTGAGCGAGGGTTGGACTCAGTGGCCCTGTAGGCCCCCTCTGATTCCATAATTTTCTGATTCTATGCTAATTGAGGTTCTGATTCTATGATAATTTAGGGACACATGCCACTGATTGGGCTTCCCTTCTGAAATGGCCAGCTGCCTCACAAGGCTAGTATGTCTCTGAAGACTTAGCACTAGGCAGTTCGGAAACTATATTGTCCAGAATACCCTGAGGATTTTGCTCCAGTGTAAGTTAAATTGTTATCAGTCATGGCAATGAATTGCAGCTGGTTAACATTCTGCTGAATACATGCCTCGGGCAATTTACATGATTTCATTTATTATGGAGAATTGCTATAAGATTATGGCTGTAATCTTAACCTTTGACTAGTTGGAAAGGACTAATGGGCTAGTGAAGGAATAAATAAGTTTTCATCTTCTAAGACAGACTGCATCTAATGTCATATCTGCCTGATAGTGCCTGCCAGAAAGAAAGGAAGAAAGACAGCATAATCTTTGTGGATCACTTAAGATACAAGTTGATCCCTAAGCATGTGATTGAACATAGCAGTATGCACATTCAGCTTTCCTCCCACAATCTGTGCCTTTCTCTCCTCCCCCCATCAATTTAACTGAAAAATATCTTGGACCTTCTCTGCAGTGTTTGTTCTTAGCTGTTTTATGTTTCTCCTCTTACCTCAGCACGTTCAAGAGGTTTTCATTATTATCCTGACTAGTTTTCAAAATACCATATTCATTCCTCAGATTTGGGAGCACACAGAGAGGTTTTCATTTATTTATTTATTTATTCTATTTATACCCCACCTATCTGGTCATTACGACCACTCTAGGTGGCTATAAATTCTTCCATAAATGTCATAAATTCTTTGATCACCAGATGAAACCCTCAGAATGAATCCATACATTGTTCTTTATAGTTACAAACTGCTGAGCATACAGTATTTTAGTACCTCTTTTTGTGTTGTTAGTGATACACCCACTTGTCATCTTGTCCGAAGCATTTGGTATCTGTATGCAGTTGTCTATGATATGGTTTAATCTTTTTAGTACTAGTTCTCAGGGCTGTACTTTGTCAACAAGCAAAATGTCTCTATTGATTTGAATGAAAACTTAGAGTGGAATTCCTGATTTGTTCTTTTTGACAGTTAGCAGTTGCTCTGAGGGTTCTGAAATATGCTGTGGAAGTCTGCGTGTGGATTTGTGTCATAAATTGAAATAGCAGCCCATGCTTGTAACTATCATTGCAGTCCCCATCCTAGTCCATATGAATCAGACATACTTCATTTATGTGAGAAGATAATGTGAATCCCCCATATCAGTGAGTACTTGGGCAATAGAAGGACCGAGGTCCTATAAGTTACCTGGTGAAGTCTTAGCTTCCATGGCTCATTGCTGTCCTCTTTAGTAGAGTGTATTTGAGTGTTATGTCTTTTGATGAGAATTGTGTGTGATTCAGATGTTTGTAGGCAAATCTCTTTCATCTCTTGTTAGGTTGCTAGGTGTGATATTTGGAGGACCAAATGTCTGCTGCTTTCAGTCTCTCCTGTGTTGCACCGGCTGCCTCTTTTACCCTCTCTCCAGCTGAGTTTGGAAGGTTATGTCTCCAGGTCTCTGTGTTTAGTTTATAATTGGGCCCACATGTTTGGGGCCTGGTATTACTTTCCTTGGTGAACATGATTGGTAGCAGGGTCACTGCTGACACACAAGTGCCAACATTTGCTTCTCTTCTCTTCTCATCTCTTCTTTCCTTCTCTTTCTTCCTCTCAATGGTGTGCGCAGAAAAGGAAGTCAAGCTCCAGCGTGCATTTGATGGTGAGCACCTCCCATAAATTGCCTGTGACCCCGTGGAATCACCATTCTCATGCCATGCACGTATAGCTTGTGCTCATCACCCCACATAGCATGTCTGGGCAAGGGTGTGTATGGTGGGACAGAGAAATGTGTTGCACTTCGAAAGGTCCATGTCCTTACAAGAGCAGTCATAGTTGCTGATGAGGCCGCTTATAGTAATGATTCTGCTTGATTAAAAAATATTGGATACCTTTAAATTCAGCTTTGGATGTTGAGTGAATTGAGCAGAGGCCTCCCACAAGCTGGATCAGTCCTGCACACAAGAAGGCATGGTCTCTAGTCTATTGTATGGGCATGGAACCTTGGCTTTTTCATTGCAGATGTTCTGAAATGGACACAGGAGCAAGCCTTCAATAAGGCTGAAGCTGCTCCCCTTGGTGGTTAGCAGCCTCACTGCAGTGCAAAGCCAATTGCCTTTCCTGATGTCCTGGATGGATGCTGTAGGCACAGCACCATTCTGTGGCTAACAGCTGCCATTTGTTTCTTCTCTCCCCCCCCCCTCAGGAATCTGTGCTAAGACCTCTTGGGTTCCAAATTCCTTTTTTCTTTCTAACATCTCCCTCCTTTTGCACACCCCTCCGCAAATCCTCAAAGAATACGGTTAGCATTAATGCCAGTGTTGATTGGCATTAATCACATATCAAACAGTTCTCCCCATTCATTTCCTCTACATATGAATGTGTCTTTTCCCTGAGATGTGTTGGGTATGTAATTGAGTCATATGTCAAGAGAAGAAAATCTCATTCTGTGTTGCTTGTGATGATGAAGAACTCACTTCCTTCAGGCTGAATTACCTAGAATCCTTTAGAGTAGCCGCTTTGTTCCAGTCAATCAGAGCAAAAACTCTGGACCAGTACTTTCAATAGGAAGTGGTTTCATGTCCTCTGATACCACTCCTGCACAGTAGCAGAGAAACTGTCTTTAGGCAACACTCTTGCAGAATTTAGAAATCTTTAGATTTCTTAAGTTACTTCAGAGTTCACTCTTTCCTGTTTCCCTTTCCAAAATGCCCTTGAGAGAGAACACTTTTCATAGGTAGAGCAGGTTAATCTTAGAAAGTCATGATTCCTTCAGCCAGGATTGATTTGGCCGTCAGAACCAAGCTGTGAGAGAGATGGTACCTGTACTTTAAAATGAACCAAAGCACAACAGTGCACTATAGCTTGTCTCAAACAGGGAACCTGGTGCTAGTCTGTGCCATGAGAAGTCACTTGTTATTTCCTAACAGCAGGACCAGAAAGCAACAACGTCACAAGGGAATGAGCTGCCTTAGACCCAACAGCATTGCTGCAAAGTCTGGCATAATGGAGAAAGTTCCAGAACGCAGCACAGGAATTAGCATGCCCTTCATTGGGTGAGAGTCAGTTCTCATAAGCCTCAAGATGGCCCTTATGCACAAATTCAGGATGCATTGCTTTTTTGTATAAGGAAACGAGTGACTCTGGAGAATACCCCTTTCACCTTTTCCCTGCTATCAGTGGGCATGAAGCCCATTGTGATCTCTTGTCACTGCTTGTTTTGCTTGTGATCTCTTGTCACTGAGGAGGAACAGTGTCTACAGAGCTAAGGAATATACCCTCAGCTAATCCCACTCTAGGTCTGCAAGCAGGAAGACTCACAATAACCACAAAAAGCAGTGTAGTGGGTTCAAGTTTAAACACAGATAGGGTGTGGATCCTTTTTGAGCAAGCCCTCTGGCAGCTTTACACGAACAGGTCCATCCACCTTATGTTTGTTTGTTTTTTTGCTCTCTATAATGTTCTGGGAGAAGGCACTCCTGCATAGAACATCACACAAGTGTGCTAGCAGCCCTGCCTTACTTGGAAAAGAGGGAACTTCAACCTATTGGTGGTGCGTAATCTCTGTAAGGTTTCATGCTTCCTTCCTAGATAGTAGCAGAGGGGCAGTCATAACATTAGGTACTGGTAATATTAGCAGCTCTTCGTGTCAGCTAAGTTCTGACTTTCAGTGGCCTCTACCAAGAGAGAGAAATGAAGCTTGTAATTTTTCTAGTCAGGCCTGTCTACATCCTGCTGATATTTCCCCTATTTTTATATATACCTATATCTTCTTACAAAAATTTGCCACAACCCAGCTTCAGAGAGCTGCCTTCGCCCCAAGGAATGGCTCCCAAAGAGAATAAACTTTCTCAGAATATTTTTGACAACTGATTGGTTCAGTCTACACAGCTGACCATCAGCTGGCAAATAATGACTATACGCTTCCAGACTGCATAATTGTGTGCTTTCTGGTGGATGAGCTAACTGCTGAAATCCACATCTAATCAATGCAAGAACCATCTGGGAAAGTCTTCTTCTCACATATCTGTGGGTAGATATTCAAGGGCCTGTGGCTGTGAAAGGTAATGTCATGGCTAGCAGAAATATTTCCCTTATGTTTGATACATCCATTCTGAATCATCGTTATTTATTACGATCTTTAATAGTTCTTCTTATAGTGAGCTCCTGGAAACTGCCCCATGGACAGGGGAGTGGAAAATCCCCTGTCAAGAAGGAGTACCAGAAGAACAAGCCAAGCTGTCTTTTTAAAGTCCCAAGCAGGCGTTCAGAATTGGAGGTGGGGCTATGGAGCTCAGCCAGAAGGATGAGACAAAAGGAAGGGAATGTAGCATTTTGTTGTCTGTTCTTCCAGAGAGGGGGGAAAAAGATCTAAAATACCTCTAGAAGATCTTTGAACACACACTCTTGTGGTCAGAGATAACCGCCATATACCAGAAGATCTGTCTTAGTATTTCTTGATCTGTTGCAGGCATATGTGAACTTCCCAAATTGATAGTCACTAGTTCAGAAATTTCCATGCAACCACCAGCACTTCCAGTAGAGACCACTGTTGTTTCACCTTGCTGCAGCAGAGTTTTCAAGAATTTATTATTCAATTCACTGTTGTGTGTGATAAACCTGGACACTTTCCTCTAGGATCAAAGGACATGAAGTCACTTTGTCATGTTGTAAGTTTTTCTAGATTTCATAGTCAGTGTGGAGAAGAATCCTCTGCCTCCTTCCCATTCTTTGGATCAAATGGGACAACAGCCGAGCTCTTGCTTGTATATAACAACACTTTCAGAGGATGTTTTGGCATTAACGGTGACTTGCAAACAGTTCCACCTCGAAGAATCAATATGATCAATATGCTCATGACAGAGCATGATGATTCTCTTCTAGGATAGTGGGATAGAATTCTGTTCTTTTCAAGTAGATATTTACAGTGATATTAACCCTGTGATCTCTGACTGAGGAAGTCGGAAGCAGCAGCCATGTAGCTTTTTTGTAGTAAATGAAGTTTCCCATATCTACCATGGACCCTAAGCAAATTATTTTAATTATTAGGACCATCAGTTTTAAAACAAGAACTAAAGGCACAGTGTGTTCACCAGAGTGGGGAAGTAATCAGACTGGAATCTGTGGCATATGATCCTAAGGCCATTTTGGTGACCCCAGCAGACTCCCCACCCCTCCCTAAAAATGATGAACTCCTGCTTCTACAAGCCTCCAAGACTGAAAACTTGTTTTTAAAATAACCTCCAAAAGTATCTAATATTTAAAAACAAGCAGCCACTTTTGTTGTCTTCAGTTCTTCTGCATTTTTGGCAGTCTGTGCAGCCCCAGAGGCACAAACTGCCCCCTAAACCTCCAGAGGTTGCTCACCCTGAACCACAGCAATAGACAGGACACATTTGTTCCCTGTCTCATTGTTGGGGAGCTGGGCAGAATGTTGTTCCTTCTCCATCTGCCTAGAATGTTGAAGTCAGTTGGATGAGAAGGATAACTCAGAATCCAAATGCTCTCTTCAGTTACTGATTTTTGTTAGTTACTTTTGGAAACATGCAGCATATCTGACCACATCACTCAAAAAACAAACAAACAAACCCCCAGCTCAGCATGAAACAATCATGGCCTAATATGACTCGAAGAATGTCATAAGAACAAATGCCCTCAGTGCAAACTGAGAGGACAGTTCCTGGTATAAGCAGCTCACTTTATAGCCTCTGGTCACTCTATTTCAAAAGAAAAAAAGAACAGAACACAAAATGTGCTCTCTTGGTACCACATTGACCCAATGTTTCTTAGATCAACCTACGATATAAGTCAGGGTGATTTGATTTAATTTTTTTAATGGATTTTTTTTACAATTTAAATCAAAAATTTTTTTTAAAAAAAATTAAACCATGATTTAAATCAATTTGGTTTTTAGAAGTCATTAACTCTTATCCACCCTGATATCAATGATGGTACTCCTGTTTCCTGTATTCCACCTGGCAGCATGGAAGTTAAATGACATTAGCTGAAACTGCTGGATTAAATAGGTGCAGTGGGACATATTATTTCATCATCGAAGGTGACAGCCTGCTAACAAGGCATTCATGAATTGATGCGCTGGCATCACAGACCCTTGGGGCAGTAAAGCTCTTTAGTTGATGTTGGATTCCAATTTCCATCAGTTTCAGCTAGTATTGCTGATTGTCAGGTATGATGGGATGGCTAGAAGTTCCTTGTCACAGCCTTAGGAGGTAAGGTGTTCAGTGCATTCTACAGTTTCGACAGAAAATGCTCATCATGGACCTGAATGACAGGTTGGGCAGACTTCAGGCCTGAGTAATCTATCTCTTCTTTTTAGTAGAATGATCAACTGGAGGCTGGTGTAAAAACATATACAGTACCTAGAATTAACACATTTAGAACCATTAATTTGCTTTGGGTATCAGAAGTGAACTGATATAGACCTTTCCACATAAAACCCCAACTCTGATTATCCAGAAGCTTTCAGAAATAATCTCAACATAATTTAGGGTGGTGGTTGGGGTGGTGGTGGTTGCTTTTTTAAAGTTGTTGCTACTTTTAGACAACCGTGAGTCAGAAATCCTTACCAAACTACTTCAGGTTATTCAGAGATGTAGCAGTAAATGTGGATCTACTATCTTTCCATCACACCTTAAGACAATC